CCTGAAATAATGAGTAATCGATATGTGATAAATAAAACGTGTTTTATACTCAAAGGTTTGAGGCCATATGGGATTAGTATTATTCTTGTGTTTCACCTTGCATGTTTTGACTTCCAGAATAATTGAGTTTATTAAGAATAATCGAATTATTCAAACGGGCCACAGTCGTTCATATGTTGGAAGTAGATATGAATGAAGACTGTCATGAATTGGTGTGTGGATTGTCTAAGAAAGTATTAGACATAAGCAAATGTTTGCTGCAACGTTCATGAGTGCTTATGAATATGATTTGAGCATTAGATTAAACCCACACTCACTTGGATCACTCCATGAATTGTATTACGAGTGATTAGTGAGACGATAACATCTTATATTCTTGAAACCGAGATGTGTGAGTTGTATCTTGCGAATCGGTTGCACATTGATAATATGTAAACGCACAGTAACTTGGTGTTATAAAACATATTGTTGTTTTAATTCTAGTGAGTACAAGCGAGCATTGTATCAAAGTTTATCCATTCCTTTTATCCAAGTAGGATAAAAGCGATATCTTTGGGCCCCTCGATGGTTTAGTGATGACATACGTAAATGCTCAGACGGGCTAGGGCTAATTTGATTTGTTCAATTATTGTCGTCATAAATCGAAATCGAGATTAGTACAAAGAGAATGATTTCAAATCATATCTCATACGATATCTAGAATGGAGGAATATATGATCCCTTATCTAAGGACACGCGTATCTGATATGATCAGAGTTGACAGTGGCTTTGGAAAGCTACGATTGCAGATCAGGATCTGAAGTCATACGCAGAATAGTTAGACTTATCAAGTGGGAGACTGTTGGATTAGTGTCTAAGTCCATAACTATTTTGGTATGTACTTGACCCGATGGTGCATGGTCCTTTTGGGTTGCCTTCACCAAAGCAACTTGATTGAAGAAATGAATAAAGAGAGAGAGAGGATAATATGATTTATTAATATGTTATAAGAATAATATATTAAAGGAGAAATCATATTTGTTTAATTAATATTGGTCAATAATTAATTAAGAATTAGTTTTGTGATTAAATGTAATTAATTAAACTAGAGGGCTGATTTGTAATTATGTGATAGTTACAAAATAAGGTAAGGATTATCTTATTTATATGGTGGATGAATTTAAGGTCGGAAAGCCTTAGAATTCGTGTATGATAAGGATTCAAGGATTATCTTATTGGTTGCTTAATGGATAATCAACTAGATAAGGATAATGACTGAAACCCTATCTCTACACCTATATAAACACCCCTAGGGTCATGAATTTGTGTATCCCTTCCCAAGAGGTCCTAGATACGAATTCTAACCTCTTACCTCTCTCTTTATACCTTCTCCATTTGCTTATGGTGTTTGTGAACCATTAGAGGAGTGACACTTGTGACTCTAAGCCTTCCAAAGTCAATTCAAGGAGATTTGGGATTGTTATTGCTACATAACAATCAAGGTAACACTATAAACTTATTCTCATGTTAATTTGATTATATGTATGCTAGAATTAGGGTTTATAGTCTTGGATTCAAAGCATGTACAATAGAGAAACCTAGATCCAAGCATTAGGGTTTGTATGAGCACATAGGAACTACAAGAAAAAGGCCCTTTAACGACGCGCAAACCACGACACTCATTAATTTATGTTACGCAAAAGAGAGTGACATTAAAAAAGTGACATCTCTTCAAAAAATTTAAGGATTTAGGTCACGCATTATTGCGCGCCCTTAAATTAGTATCATAAGAAAAAAAAATTAAAAACACGGAGGGTGTTGTATCTTAAGTGCGTGCCCTCTATAAGTGTCGCTTTATAATTGTAATGAAACGCGCGTTTAGGAAGTAGACAGGGGGAAACGAAATCCCGAAAGTTTTGAAAACCCACCTTCTACCTTCTTTCTATCTTTCATCTTCCCAATCGACTCTCCTCTCTCCCTCCTTCTCTCTCCTCTCCGATCCACTTATCCGCTACTCCTGACCTCCTTATTTTCGGTCTCATACAACATCTCGTTCCTCACCTTTTCCGTTGACCACAGGTACTGCTCCAGCGGCCAAGATTCCACCCTATTATTTTCATCTTCAAATCGATTGTAGTATCTCATTTCTACTTATCATGTACCTTCGACCCTCTTCTCTCCATCTTTGATTATCACAACAATTGTCTCTTTATAGCAAAACGGAGTTCCATCAGATAAGCACCTCAATTTTCCATCTTTTTATTGGCAACTCAGGCTTAAAATTTTCTTTCTCACCGTCTCACCTCAATGAAGATCGATTTCATGCCTTAAATATTGCAGACAACTGCTCCGGTGAAGTTAACTACAGTCAAAGGTTGATTGGGGAGTAATGAAGGTGGGAGGCTGAGTCGACCCGCCTGATCCCTTTGAACCACCCCCGTCTGATCATCTTCAGATTTTCATTATAAAAATCGGCGATGGGAATTTTTAGGGTTTTTAAGCAGAGTGACAATTACGATTCTGAAGCATTGAAGCTTTTTTTTTATTGAGGGCACGTTAAAATTAGGAGAGAGTTCGAGAGTGGGTTTCGATTTGCCCACCGTCAGATAACCACTTCCACCTTCAACACCAGAACAGCACCATCATCTTCTAAGGATTTGGAATTTTGGTTGTTGTCGCTGAATCAAGCTTCAACTTTTTTTGTTCCATAAATCAAGGTATGGTTCCCAATCCTGAAGAGGTACCTATATTTTCTTCAATGGATACCAATCACAAAACGAAACCCTATCTAATTTTCTTAATTCGACAATTTTTGTGAAAGGAATTATGACTTTGGTGTTCTCCATCATGAATTTAAGGTCTATGCATCTTAGGAAAGTTTAATTATTGGTTGAGTATGTAACTTTAATTCGTATTTTGTAGAATATAGGTGTTGTGTTCCCCTTCACCACATAGGAAGATATGGATAACTTGCGGCTATTGGAATTAATTTTTTTTTTTTTTTCTAAATAGCTGTTTTGAAGACTAGATGCAATGTTAATTTTTACATCCAAGGAAAAATTTTATGACTTCCTTTTATCAAGTTTCTGGCAATTTTTTTTAACATTTCAGGCGGTAAGTGATTTGAGCATGACCAAGTGGAGGGTCTTCCTTTGGATACCTGTTTGTTTATGGGAAGTAAACTTCTTAAGCTCTCCGTTTTTTCTTCAGGTATTGTTATCCTTTCTCTAAACCCATATAGACATGTGTTATTTAACGTTTATTGGGAAAAAACACATTATCTGTTGATGTTCTTTCCATTGTGATAATTGCTTTAGGGTCTAGTGGGTTTAACAATCATCTGAGATAAAGTTAACCCAGTTTTTTCAGTGAACTATTTGTTGTCGGCATTCAACCACACCATCATTGTTGCTGTTTGGATAACGCCTTCTATCATGTTCACTAGGTTCAAATAGTAAGGTATGTCACCTGTTGCAGTTTCACATTTTTGTTACGTCCTCACTTTACACAAAAATGGTCATATTTTCTCATTTATTTGTCAATCCACTTCAGTAATGTCCAATATATATATATATATATATATATATATATATATATATATATATATATATATATATATTGCACACCAACTGTTCGGTAAAATGCTTAAAACAAAATTTTTAATTTTTATTCAATATATGTGACAAAGAATATTCATTTTTTGATTATCGACTTACTTCCTCATGTTATTTGGTCCTTTTTATTCAATATATATATTTTTTATTTTTATTCAGTATCCTTTTTATTGTTTCATTTCTTGATTTACTTATTTGATTGCATGTCATGTTATTACAACTTCAGGTTCTAATGGTACTAGTGAACAAAAGCTCAAAAGAAGCATTTTGATTCTCAAACCACTTTTATCCTATTATAGAAGATATTGGTCGGCAGGTCCAAGGAGATCCTGGGCTATTCTCAAATCAACCTCCACTGATCCATTCTCAAAAGTAGCAATAATGGTATTTGATTTAGCTTTTTGATTTTGATTTATCATATGAATAAAGGTACACTAACAAGGGAAACTTTTGTTTTCATCATAGGTTTCTGGATGTTGGATCTTGCTAATAACACCGTTCATGTAACAATTTATAAAAAGATCATTTTTTTTAAAAACAACTTGTGTTTTAAACCATTATTTTAAATTCAAGTAACAATTTTAATAATTTCAGGGCCCCACTCGTGCTCTCCTGGCTGATTTAGCAGGTAAGTGCCAAGTTTATTCCTCAATCTTAATTTTGATCAAAACCCTAAACCCAAATCTGTTAATAGTTTCACCTTATGATGTTTATGTTATGTCTCTAGCAATGCTAATTATAATATTTATTCATTTATTTAATAGGCCCTGATTTTTTACAAATTTGCCCTTACTTGTTAAATATAATGTTTGTAACAGGGAGTCCTAGACCTGGATGAGGCGATTTCTCCAAAGTGTGGACTTCTTTGTCCTTGTTGGACTGTAATACTTCAGGTAAATGATAAATAATTAATAAGTATTTAAAATATTTTCTTCTTGTGGTCTTTTATTTTGATTTTATGGGATCTGATTATAAAATTGTTACAGGGTGGATACGAAGTTTTGTAGCAGATTACTTGATATGCATATCATCGTTAGTAGATTACATACTAATTATTAAAGAGGTGTGATTACTGATTAATAAATAAATATTTCCAGGATTTGGTGCTGCAATTGCATGGATGCTAATGGGTGCATTGATCTTGGTGGCCTTTTAAGGGTTACAGCAGGTTATGGAACAAAAGGTATGCTACTTTTTGTTATGATACTTGTAGTTGTTTAATGGCTTTTGTTATATTAAAACTTAGGGGTTGTTTCTGTTTGACTTAATATGGACAAAATGGCCTCATGTGTTAAGCCAAGTTAATGTATTAAGACACCAACCCCTTTAACCTTCTTTTTACCACCCTCACATGTCAAATTTGTTTTTTCGTATGTAAGGGTAAAACAGAAAAGAAATAGACTTTACGTATCCAAACATACATCATCATCCATTCAGTTTGATGATTTTTCTTATAGTTATTTAGATTCAAATGTTGTTTTTATGATTTGAAAAGTCAATTGTCATTAGTATCGCTCTCTGTTGGATCAGATGGACAACCGGATATCATCAAGGAGTGGCAGATTGAGGAAAGGCACCTGAGATTTGCATCAATGGTCTGAAACAGTTGATCTAATATATCCAAAATTTCATTAACAACAAATTATAATTAAAAATAATATATGTGGCCCCTGAGCTTTCGATTTTGATCTTTTCTTGTGGCTCTTACTGTTCCAAGTAAATGAGTATCTTTGGCCCCTGAAACCATTTTTTTCTTAGAGTAAATTACATTTTTGGTTCCTGAGCTTTCGGTTTTGGTCTTTGCTTGTGGTGCTTACTGTTCCAAGTAAATGACTATCTTTGGCGCCTGTGAGTAGCTGAATTTTGTATATTTGGTCCTAGAAAGTCATTTTACTTGAAACATGTATGGACCAAAATTCTAATAGAACTTTTTGGGAATTAAAAAAAATCAGCTACATGCTGAGACAAAAAAATGCAATTTACTCTTTTAGTTAATAAATTCCAAGCAAGCATACAGTTGTTGATGTAATAATTATTGTTGCATTTGTAATTTTGCATTGCAGGTATATTTGGGTGAGCAGTATGTGAACAACCCTACACTTTCTGATGTAACTTTAATGATTGAAGGTACACATATGATGTATGATATGTTTTTTAAAAAAGTAAAAATTAAGTAATGGATGTGGTTGGCAGTTTATTTATTTGGTATGATATCAGGCAAAAGGTTTTATGCTCACATAATCTGTTTGCTTGCTTCTTCTGATGCATTTCGGGCAATGTTTGATGGTGGTTATAGGGTTAGTATCAAATTAGAAACATATAGTAGGTGCATTTACTAGAAACATATGTGTTTATGAATGATGATGATGAATGTGGCGGTTTGGTTGCATTCTAGGAGAGAGATGCAAAAGATATTGGGAGACATTTGAGAAAATGATTAGGTGCATTTACACTGGATCAGTGGAAGTGGATTTAAGAATAGCCCAGGATCTCCTTAGAGCTGCCGACCAATATCTTCTAGATGGTGTTAGTGAACAAAAACTTTTTAGGACCAAAATTTCAAAAATAAACTATACTCAAGAGACCTAAAATGTAATTCACTCTAAGTTCAAAGATATTAGAACTAGTTTTAAGTATGATTTTCGTTAATCAGGTGATAGATTTTCAAGACGTTTCATTGCAGCCATTGTAAGTGTGTACGTGTGTAATGTCTTAGTTTTAAGTATGATTTTCGTTAATCAGGTGATGGAAAAAGTACATCCAGGTACTAGTAAGTGTGTAATGTCTTATGTAATCGGAGTTCACAGCCTTAAGGCAATCAGCCTTAAGACACACGATTGAGAATGAATGGATTATTTGATGAAGAGAAACGTGCCATTCAATTCACCTAAAACTTCATTGCTTTGTACAAAATCGGACCTGCATGTGGTGGTGGTATCAGGTCTATCTGAATCATTGATTTTCATAAAAATAAAATAGAAAATCGCCATGTGTGTACTTGGGGATATAAAAGGAAATAAATAAACAAGGGCACATTTGTAAAAAGTTAATACTTATATTAATACTCTCTCTTGTCTTTGCTTGGCTTACAATCTTGTATTTTGAAATGCAGCAAGGGACACAAGAAAGAGATCATTCTTCAGAAAGGATTGGTATGTTCTCACGAAAGGTATGGAATTGTAGAAGGGTGAATCTGAGGGTGCATAGTGTAGTGAAGAAAGCACATCTTGGCCTTGTTATAGCCCTATCCTTCTCTCAGGATTCAAGGTTCCCTCTCTTTCTTTCTTTATAAATTCTTTAATTCAGACTTCATACCTTTGACCTTTCCATACCCGTATTTTTTTTATATAAGAAAGCTTGTTGTTTTTTTGTAATACAGAGCCCTGGTGTTTACATCTCTTGATTCAAGTGCAAGGGTCACACAAATCAAAGAAACCAAAAACAATGGTATATCACTTTTTCTCTCCTCACTCACATCATCATATAAACACGTGTACTTTCTATTGGATTTTTGTAGCTTGCTTCAAGTGTTACAAAACAGAAAACAAACACTGATAAGAACATGTCAACCATGTTTGATGTGTTGAGAAGGAACAGAACTGTAAAGCTTGAAACTTTAGTCCTGAAATGTAAACCCTGGTAACTTCCCAATTCATACTTATATATATTTTCTATGTACCATTTCTTGTCGTTTTCCTCCTTGACCAGGTAATATCATTAATTTGTTTCTTTCTACTTAGTATTTCTTACTGGTTGTGAACAAGCCTCTCATCTCACATTTGAGTTTATAGGAATCAACAATCACTGTGAAACTTCTAGTGTTTAGATTTCTTAGTGGTTGTGAACATTTGTTTCTTCCCTTTCTACCCTTCACTTGCAGGTTGATGATTTGTCAAGAATGTTCAGACTATTTTCCAAAAATACCCCATGGATTGGATCCTGTCTATAGTATGTTTAAACAGGTTTGTGATTTAGGAGTTGGATTCTATTTTTTTTTAAAGTAGAATGTAGTTATTTGTATTTGTTGTCATTTGTTTTTATCTTTTTGATGCAATCCAACATGTTGCTGCTGAAGGAACAACCTTGGTCAAACAGTCAAAAGATGTTGCAAGTAATAAGAAGGTAGAAAAGAGATTGCAGGTTGATCCTGCTACATGGCCAATAATGATCTTTAGGGTCTGCTAGAAGGATTGGAGATTGTAGTTAAGCTACTATCTAAGACTTCACGCCAAGGACTTGATGAATTTAAGCTAGCAATGTTTTACTTGATTTGGACATGAACCCTAAGATATCATATTTTGGCATGGCTAGAAGCTTTGGAGGAAACGAGACTCAAGCAAAAGTAAACACACAGAGAGTTGTTGGCACATAGTAAGCTAGATAATGCAATTGTATATAAATGAGTTCATTTTTTTATAACATTTACTCACTATTGGAATAATTATTTGTATTTGACATATTAGTGAAATGAATTATCTTTGTTATTTATGGTATTTTATTTTGAATTATGAGATTTTTAATGTATTATTTAATTTGAAAATTAGTAAATCTATAAATAATTTTTTTTAAACATTTAAAATTATGATACGCAAAAATGTGTGTCATCTTCATTTATGACATGGCCTTTCTTGACAGGGGCTTTCTTGATACGCATTGCGTGTCATTAACACACGCTTCGTAAGGTTACGACACGCGAATGCGTGTTGTCTTTCTTTATGACAGGGCCTTCCTTGATACGCATTGCGTGTTGTAAACGCACGTCGTAATTGCGCGTCGTAAATGAGCGTCGTCTATAGACGACGCGCAAAAGCGCGTCGTCTCTCTTTATGACAGGGCCTTCCTTGACGCGCATTTGCGCGTCGTCTGAGCCTTTTACGATGCGCAATGAGCATCGTAAAAGGCTGTTTTTCTAGTAGTGAGGATGTCTTATGACCAAAACCCATCAGTAAAGTCCTGGCTTGGAAAGTATTTCGCTATGAAGGACCTTGGTGAAGCTGCTTATATCCTAGGGATAAGGATCTTGAGAGACCGGAGTAAAAGACTAATTGGACTTAGTCAAAGCACCTATGTGGACAAAGTGTTGAAAAGATTCAACATGCATAACTCCAAGAAAGGTGAGTTACCCATTCAGAGTAATGCCAGATTCAGTAAGACACAAAGCCCTTGTACTGAGGCTGAGATAGCAGAAATGAGTCGAATACCTTATGCTTCTGCTGTAGGATCGATCATGTATGCTATGACGTGTACTCGACCTAATGTAGCCTTTGCTTTGAGCATGGTTAGCAGGTATCAGGGGATCCCTGGCAAGGAACACTGGACTACGGTAAAGAATATCCTCAAGTACCTACGAAGGACTAAGGACTAGGTCCTTACCTTCGGTGGGAGTGATGACTTGAGAGTTGTAGGGTATAGTGATGCCAGCTTCCAGACTGATAGAGATAATTTCCGCTCTCAGTCGGGCTGGGTCTTTACCTTAAATGGAGGAGCAATCACTTGGAAGAGTTCCAAGCAGGAGACAGTGGCTGATTCCACTTGTGAATCAGAGTATATAGTCGCAAGCGAGGCAGCAAAGGAGGCTATATGGCTAAAGAACTTCATCGGAGACCTTGGAGTTATACCAACTATAAAAGAGCCGATGGAGATTTTCTGTGACAGCAATAGTGCGGTTGCCTTAGCCAACGAACCAAGAGATCATGGGAGATCCAGACACATTGACAGAAAATATCACTTCATCGGGCATCGAATAGAAGAAGGAATGCTCGTAGCGAAGAGGGTATCATCGGATGAGAACCCAACAGATCCCCTCATGAAGGGGCTGAGTAGGGTTAAGCATCTTCAGCATGCTTGGAGCATAGGGCTGAAGGATGATATAAGTTTTAGTAGTTAGATAAATTATGAAATTTGTAAAGTTTAATTGACATTTGATGATGAATAAAAGGTGTTTTATTTATGAGTAAAGTGTTGCTATCTCTTGTCGATCATTTACTTTATTTCTTTTTGCATGTTTTGACTTCCAGAATAATTATGTTTGGTATATCATCTTATTCATGTTGGATAAGGTGTGTAAGTCCATAACTTATTTGGTATATACTTGACCCGACCGGCATGGTCCATTTGGGTTGCATCTCATCCAAACTATTATGGATAATTTTATGGGAGTTATACACATATATTTATTAATATATTATGAGATATAATATATTAATATGAAGTTACGTTATTTAATTAGTTTTAGTCTTCAATTAATTATGAATTAATTTAGAGATTAAAAGGAATACTAATTAGATTATGGGCTATTTGTTTTATATAGTGTGGGCTAATACTCATTTGTTAATGGGCTAGGCTTATGTGGAAGTCCATGGATGATCCATGGAGCTTTTAACCCATGGATCCTTGGAAAGGAAAAGACATGGGTTATTAGGGTTTCACCCTAACCATGCACACTATATAAGCATGCTTATGGAGCACGAAATGGAGCCTAAGAGAAAACTAGTGAACTAGTGTGTGTGTGCTTGTGTGTGGCCGATTTTATACAAGGGTGTATACTCTCTCAAAGTTTTCCAAGAGTTTGTGGTGTTTGTGATTCCATTTGAGGCATTCACACTGTTGGTGCTTGGCCCTCAAACTCCTTAGAACCAAACTCACCAAAAGGTATGTAATCTCTTCTAACTCTTTTATGTTGAAATGTTCCCCATGCCATGTTAGATAGGTTATAAACCTTGGAAAATTATTATTTTGCATGTATTTAGACAAACGTAGATCCAAGGTTTATTAGGGTTGCATGCACACTTAGGAAGTGTTAGATTGCTCAAAACCCAACAGTGGTATCAGAGCCTAGGCTTGCTTGTTTGATACTTGATGCAAAAAAGTGAAAAAAGTCGAAATCGTTGTTGTCTGCATGGTGGACTCGCCGAGTCCATTGGGGGGACTCGACTAGTCCAAGGCAAACTTCAACCTACTCGACGAGTCAGTTCATGCACTCGACGAGTAGGATCGAAAGAGTGCAGATTCTCGACTTTTGCTGCTGGAAATGGAATAGAAACATTACCCTAAATTGTTTTGGTGTTATAAAACTTATTTTAGTTGGTGTAATGGTTGTTCTAATCCATTTGCAATAGCATATATCAAAATTCCATGATTTTATGTGTTCATATAATTCTTGAATTTTTGATGATCATGTTCATGTTCTTATGAATTTAGAAAATGATAGGAATTATTTGTTGAATTGTTTAAGATTAATTCTTTATCATTTATGTGTTTTAATGGAGTCCATAATTTGTCCTCAAGTTATGGATTTCCAAAGGTCACTCTTATTTAACACACACTTAAAACACATAAGTTACATGAAAATGAAGAGTCTTCATTTTTATGAACCTTTAATTCATAAGTTATGAAATGAAGAGTTTTGCAAAGTTACAAAACTTTCCCTCAAGTTTTGGAATTTGTAAAGTTTCACACACTTTAATAAACTTTAATTCCAACCCTTAGAGTTTTAATAGTTAAAATTCAACACTTATACTATTTATAACATTAATGGTTAATTATTATATATATGTATAAGAATAAGTCGTTTTACCGTTAGTATGCCTCATTCACGAAGCCGGTCTATAAGGTGGGTATAAGGTTGTTGCCTATAAAATGGCGACTTAATGGGTGTATACTCTCACCCACCGCTTGCTTGATCGGTGGAGGGTCGTTAGCCGAACGGGTAGAACAATGACTTTAAATCGTCATTAAAAGTATAATGAATATTATAAAATAACTAAACTCTTTTAATTCCCAATCTTAGTTATTTTAGGAAAATGTGAACATGGTGCTAGTCCATGGAATTCACACTTTGTACCTTACCAAGTCGTTAGTGGAGCGTCTGTGGTTAACTGGCACACTAACTAGGAATTGTTAGGATCACGAAGGGTGACTTAATGTTTGTCATAGATCAATGGAGCGTGTGTGGTTAACCGGCCCATTGATTAGGTGATAATATTAAGGGTACCAAGTGAATTAGCATGGTTATTCACACTTTGTTTTCTGATCCTCGGCATCCCAGTCACAAAACTTGAAGGGCACAATCGAGATTGAAACATGCCATTGAAAAGTTCAATGAATCTCAAAAGAATCTAGGAATTTCAAATCCAATTAAACCCAATAAATCATTTCGTTTTCATGGTGGGAATTGGTGAATCGTCATTCACCTACCTTTCAAATATATTATTACTTAGATTACAGCATCCCTCTTCTAAGTGTAATATATTGTGATTGGATCCTAGACTTAATATTACATTTGGGTGTCTTATTAAGGATCCTAAATATCTAATCTAAACTTACTCTCTTTTTTCAGATGTCTTCCAACACTAATGCTTCAGGCTCTAACCCAACTAGTTCTTTCTCTCTCATGAATCTTTGAGGGAGGGTCATCTTTGATGGTTCCAACTTCATGGATTGGATTAGGAACATCAGGATGGTTACTCGTTACGAGGACAAGGAACATGTCCTCGATAAGGAGTTAAAAGAACTTGATGAGTCTACTGCTACTCCTGAGGAGATCACTGAATTCATGACTCATGAGAGAGATGCTACTAAGGTGGCATGTATCATGATGGCCACGATGATAGCCGAGCTCCAAAAGTCGTATGAAGATTTCTACCCTTTTGAGATGCACCAAGACCTGATGGAAAGGTACCATCAGAGTGCTCGTCAGGAGCGGTATGAAATAATCTCCTCCATAATAACTACCTGCATGAAGGATGGTGAATCCGTCACGGGCCACATGCAAAAGATGCAAAGGTATGTAGACCGTTTGCTGAAGCTGAATGTTAAAATCCCCGAGGAGTTGGCAATTGACATCATTTTGCACTCCTTGCCTTCTTGTTATGATCATTTTCGAATGACATATCATATGAACAAGGAGGAAGTTACCCTCAGCAAGGGTAAAGTGGTTGTTACCTCTACTACTCCTACTCCAACATCTACCCTTGTTTTAGCTATTGGGCAAGGCAAAGGGAAGAAGAGGAAGAACCCTTCGAAGGGTACCAAGGGAAAGTCTATTGAAGGCTCCTCATCGAAGACCAAGAGTGGTTCTGTCACTCTTTCTACCATTCCCAAGGATGCTGAATGCTTTTATTGCCATGAAAAGGCACACTGGAAGCGAACTGCCCTAAGTAATTGCAGGATCTAAAGGATGGGAAAGTGAAACCCACCCATGCAGGTATTTACACTATATTGTCTAATTACTTAACATATTCTAACTCTTGGGTGCTTGATACAGGATGTGGTATTCACA